ACAGAGAGGGGGGCTTGGGGAGGAGAAAAACAACAAACAAACAAAAAATAATAATAATAGTAAAAGACAACCAGCCAAACAGCAGCAATAAACAGCTGACATAGTAAGACAACTAAGAGAAAAATGAAACACAGCAGAGCCACGAGAGCTGGAATAATAACAATTAATTTAAATAAGTAACTGAAAGAAAAGCATCAGGAATAATTCTACCAGGGACAACCTAAATTTGTTTGTGTCTATGTGTGAGACTGTGTGTGTGTGTGTGTGTGTGTGTGTGTGTGTGTGTGTAAAGGTGTGTGCCCATTTTTTTTCTTAACTGTCTAAATACATGCCAATCAGTTGTAGAGCCTGTTGTCATGTTACGCTCATGAATAGTTTCTGCTAGTTTTGGGGTTTAGATCGCCAGCTCCAATAATTTCGCTATAATTTAGTCTAGATAAAAGTTGCATCAGAGACTGTAACGCATACTCTGGGGAAGATGGAGGTCTGTAAAACAGATATAACAACATATATTATTATGTTATACTGAGGCCCTTAACAATGTCCACATTTACTGCCAGAATTTCCAGTTGTTTGCAGATTGATTCACACAAAACTACCCTGACATGAAAATTTTATTTCACATAAATGGCAGTACCGCCACTTTTCTTTAGTCTGTCAGCTCGATAAACATTGTATTCATCAACATTGTATAATCAATAAAAGAATAATGTATATATAATAATGTATATAATGTATACATCAATGAACAAATCTAGGATATGCTACAGTTTAAATATATTTGTTCAGCTTTGAGTAACATGTCCAGACTGGGGTTTAATCTCTCAACCTTTGGTTCTGAAGAGCAACACCTTAACCACTGGACTATTGCTTTTATTTTTTTTGTGTGCTGAAATCACATTTAATGCTTCCAAACTACCAATAGTAGGTAAGTAAATCCCTTGATGACCAGAAATGCCTGGCATGCAACTGTTTTGCTTGTAAATATTGTTCCTGTGACGTCTTGTCCGCTGTTGCAGAAAATGAAGACACAGAAAGTGACTAATCTCATAAAAGACTTATTTCCATGTAAATAAACTGAATTTCAAAAGACCAACAACACTGCAAGTCAGTGGGAACTGAACATTTTGTTGGCATCATTAAGTTAAAACATGTGCTTTTGAAAATCCTGTAGTGCCATCTACAGGTAAAAGAATGCATAATATGTCACGTACTTGTTTAGCAAACATATGTGTTCAGTTTTGCTCCATTCGGTTAAAATGCAGAGAACAGGATTTCCCAAGAGGCGTGTGGAAAATTAACTCACACTGTCGGTGGAAGTAGGAATGGAATCCACCTCTGACTAAAAAGTGCTGCTATGGAGACTGATGCGTAACCAGTTGAGCTATTTAACCACACTGACAAGCGGCACAATTTGATGTTTTTTTGATATAAAAGTGCATTTGCCTTAAAAAAAAAGTATTTCAGCTGTCATTTTGGTATTTTTAGTAAGTGCTTGAGTAGCTGAGCATAAAAATAGACATCATGTGTCCACACTTAAAGCTGGAAGGAAGATTTTGCAAGGTAAAGAATTGGTGACAGGGGGAGAACTCAGTCTGCATAATTACAGGCATGAATGAGACCTGAGTTACATATCAATTAAGGTTTAGATCTAAAAAACTAAACCTCCACTGAGTAAGATGTTAGGTTTGATTTTCAGAGAGAAAATGCTTTAAGCTACATTTTGATTCCTTTTTTGTGCTTGGACATAAATATGCTTGACTGGCAGCAGTTTAAAAAAAAATTATGGTCTACCAAATACTGTCCTCTACACTCTAGCTGCACATGTGACACACTGATAAAATCTCCAAAAAGCTGTAAAACCCCTCACTTTAGAAGTAATTATCTACTAAACTACATCTTCTTCTGTTTAAAGCTCATATGCAGTCTGTAGTTACACATATGTCTGAGCAGTAAGCTCGTATATCAGAGTAGGGTGGAAGAAAGTTGAGTCTCTACTCCCATAGAAACCCATTCCTTGTAAATGCATAAAAAAAATCAAACATTAGTGTCAGTATCAACAATAAAAGGACAGCAGAAGATAGGTTCCAAAAATGGAGATATATAATAATAATAAAGACTTGTCTATGAAGATTCTCAGTCATCCAGGTCATAGTTATCCAACGAAGGTTAAAATCAAGGGCAACTGGACTTGGTTGAAGATACTGGAAGACGTTTCGTGAAACGTCCAGTTGCCCTTGATTTTAACCTTCGTTGGATAATAATAAAGACAACAACAATAAAAGTGTGAGAGCTACAGCTAATTATTAGATTTGTGCCCATTGAATGTAGGACATCACCAGTGAAAGTATTTTTAAGCGTGGTTATGCCAGCTGCTGAGATTTTCAAAAATTGACATCAACAGAGGAATGGCGCTCTTGAAAAAAACTTAAAACAAATCTGCCTGAAGTTGTTTGGCAAATAAAACAAAGGCTTTTCTTTCACAAATCTGTCTTAGTCCCCTGGCATTTAGAGAAACAATAGATAAAGACAAAGCTTTTAATGAACACAAACGAGAAATGTAGTGAACCAACCAGTGGTCATTTAATTATTTTATGCCAAAAGGAAGAACCCAACTCTCTCTCTTTGTCTCTCCCTAAGAGAAGGTGATATTAGTTATGGGGGCGCTCATCCCAAGATTTGGCCTTTGTGACCTGCACAGACTCAAACGGACACGCTAGCCTTAAAAACTGTTTATTCTGGGAACATGCGACCATTCCCGCCGTAAAGGTGTCACTACGGACACTCTGCAGGAAGACCAAAAGGGCAAGTAACCATGGTAACCGACCTCACCCGGCAAGTTACCCCAAAACGTCAAAGTGGTTGCTCTGTTTAGTTTAATAATCTTTGATAACTTAGTTGCTCTCGCCACTTCAATTTTGAGTTTTATTACCATTTTGTTCTTGTTAGAAACTATGTTGAAAAGAAGGAACCAGAGATTTAAATATGAAGTTATACTGCTGTGCCTTGTGCATAAATGCTTTTCTCTCTTAATGGGGAAATGCTTCACCCTGTTTCACCCAACATCAAAGGGAAAACAAAATGAAGCCCTCAGCTCTGTGGGAACACTTTAAACTGAGTGATGACAATGGCGGTGTGGCAATGATGAGGTTTAAGAACTTTTAGTAGGCTATAAAAAAAGTTAAGGCCAATTTTACATAATAACTTGTTGTTACTTTCCGCTACCGGAAATGGTGTCTGCTCTCCCTGAACCCCAGCCCCCCCAAATGTTTGTTTTCAAATAAATGATATACATACAGACGATGCCTTGAATCAAGATGAAAAACAATGAAGGCAGATGGATTGTGATGAGTCAGCAACATGTGCTCCCAATACAATATAATAACAATGGAAATAAAGAAACAAAGCGCTCTCTCTCTCTCACTGTCTCTCTCACTCACACACACACACAGTGACCGCCGTTCCGTTATCTCTCCCCCTTCAGGTTTCTCCTTCACTCATGTAATTGCTAGAACTTTTTGGGCATTCATTCTTCTGTTGTTCTGTTTCAATCTCTGAAATAAATAGCTGTATCTCGTGAAATTACAGCCTGCCTACTGCTGGCACAACAGTTCAAACAAGATCACTGTAATGCAAAAAATCAAATCAAAGTCAACCCAAAAATGTGCTCTCATGTTTTCTCAGGGAATGTGAGTCCACACATGAGATTTACTTAAGAGATAAGATAAGATCAGCCTTTATTTGTCTCACAGGTGAGAAATTTCAACATTAGTAAGTGGATAGCATGGAATAAAGTAAAGTGGTTAGTGACATAAATATAATATTAACAATATCAAAAATAATAATACTAAAATAAAAAAACAACAATATTTTTAACACACTACAAAACTAATAAAGTAAAGCAGTCTGCAGAGGAAGCAACTTCGCACGTTACGATGTACTGTGACTTGTTTGACAATGCCCTCAGGCTTGACAGAACCTGACACTGCAGAAACTTTAGTGTCACACAGAGAATCAAATTAGCACCTGCGACCTGTGGGTAAAATGTTGGTGGTGGCGGTTGAAATCGTCGGGCTATCCGCCGAGAAAATGCATAACAGAAAGACACATGTAGTTAGCACATTGTGGCGATCGGCACATGCACCGTCAGTCAGCTCAGTGAATATCTGTGACACAGTGTTTCAAACCAAACTCCTCTTTCTGGGATCCAGAAAAGAATATTTTTGTTGAGAGATGTAATCTTGTAGAGATTTGAACTGAGATAAGGACTGGTGGCTGAATTGTGGATTTTGTGTTGAGCGCTTACTGTAATGTTATAATACACTTTGGTGAACTTTGTTTTTCTTGTGGTCTGTAGGTAGGCCTACCTGATGATATTATAAGATACTATTTAATGCCATGACACTCCACTTAACTTTCTCTGAAATTTGATTAGTGTCACATTTACATTTATTCATTTAGCTGACACTTTTATCCAAAGCGACTTACTAATTGCTATTTATGTCAGAGGCCGCACGTCTCTGGAGCAACTAGGGGTTTAGTGTCTTGCTCAGAGACACAATGGTGGATGGGGCACAGTGGGGAATTTAACCTGCGTCTCTGACACCAAAGGTATGTGTCTTATTACATTGTGCCATCACCACCACCCACAGCCCACAGCAACCCATTTTACTCTGTCCCTTTCTAACCTCCTTCCTTCTTATCATGGCTGACATATACAGTAATAATATTGGATTGATCGTTCATCTTGAAATTGGTTGTTAAATACGGTGGGGTATAAATATATTGAACATTTAATGACAACATTAACTTTAAATGATGCCTAAATGAACTGAATGTTATTCCTGAGCTGAATTTGGCAGACAAACACATTTCAGACCCTGGTGTCAGTTATTAAAAAATAGTTGCACAGTGGGAGGGACCTCATGCCACAAAAGTGTCTTGCATGTTTTCTTTCTGCTCTTTGAAACAGTATTTCATTCTGTCTGTCTCTCCAACAGAAAGCAGATATAGCAGTCGCTCCCCTGACGATCACTCTTGTTCGTGAAGAGGTGATAGATTTCTCAAAGCCCTTCATGTCTTTGGGAATCTCCATCATGATCAAAAAGCCACAGAAATCCAAACCAGGAGTCTTCTCTTTTCTGGACCCACTGGCCTATGAAATCTGGATGTGCATTGTCTTTGCCTATATAGGAGTCAGTGTTGTACTCTTTCTGGTAAGTCAATCTGTTTATGTGTATAGTTTTTTTCTTTCAGGTACCATGGCTGTCAGAGGTTCCTTTATGTGGGTGTATTATAGGCATGCATGAATGTTCTGCCTAAAATGTGCTAAGTGTAATTGAAGCCTAAAAATAAGACTAAGATCCCAGTAATGCACACAGCTTGTCCGTGGAGACAGCTGTACTGATTGCCATTGAAGAGTATATGTTCCATCACATGGACATAAAATAGATGAAATCACATTAAAATGGGCCTAAAAAGTTTAGGCCTTGTTCAGACTGCCAGCCCAAATCCGATTTTCCTGCACTTGACAGCGCGATTGTTTGGAGGGTGAAATGACGGATCTCCATTTCTAATACTTCCTAGTTGGAAGCATACATAGGTACTGATGCCTACGTCATTACCAAAGCCACCCATGGAGATAGGTTGGTGATATCTGGACACACAAATCCTATCTGATCACTTGCAAATAACAGCACGGACAGTCTTAAAGATCTGATTTGAGAAACAAATCTGATTGGCCTGCAGCCTGCAACAAAGCCTTAGACAGCTTGTAAGAAGATTGCATCCAGTCCATTAAGTATATGTTTTGATGCAGGTCCATACACAAGACTCCCACATTCTATACTTCATCTAATTAAAGCTACAGTTCTACATTTCAGGAATGGAGTTTCTACTCCTCACTTAAATCCAAGGCATCTGAGCGTATTCATAACGTTTTATACTTATTGTTATGGTCATCCCGTAATAACCTGGAATTACAAGACCAAAATCTCTCCATAAATTGTGTGACAAAGTAATACCTACTCAGGGTCCACTTACTAGCACTTTCAGAGCTTTGTCACCTCTCACAGTCTTCATGATTGTATGGAACTGGCCCAGTTATGATTATGTTATGTATGGCCACATGATAACAGCTGATTGTATATGTGGCTGAGATGATAACACATCTCTGTTCGAAATCTGTGATGTCAGATATGTCATCCCTGATCTCTGGCTGTCCATTGACTCCTAGTCTGCCTTTGGGTAAAGTTAAATACATACATCTGGTACACTTCAAGAACAGAATTAACAGGTTTTGTACTCCTGTAAACTAGAGATGCACTGATCGATTGGCTGGGGACGGGAATAGGCCAGTTTTTAGCTTAATCGGCCACGACCAATGGCCGGGGCCGAGCACCGTCAAATATCCATTTTCTTCCGGGCACATTGCCGTGAGTGAAGAAGATACAAAGGTCACAATTTACACCTGCAGAGAAACACAGAGAGAGAGATGCTATCTTGTATTACTTTAGAAGATGTGGACACTGTGGATATTTTACAAGGACGGACCAGGTAAAGCAACAGTGAACACAGCTGTTGGTGCTGATGTCATTCAATACCAACTTGATCGGTAATTAACAACAAGCCTCCTCCACACTTGGCTCACGTGCTGCTGTGAAAAAGGCGGGTGAAAAAATTCAATACAGGAATTGTCTTTATAAAACTGCTGACAAATAAAGTCAACAGAGCAGACAGATACGGGGGGGAGAGAGAAAGAGAGACAGGTATAGGTGTGTGTGTCTGAATGGAAAAGCAAGGTGAGCAGATTACTGTAGTTTGTGAGTAAACAGTAGAATAAGGTGGAGAATTAATTAAGTAGAATTAAAATGGTGAGATAAGAAATAACCTACTAGAAATAGGGTAATGTACAAAATAATAGACAAAGCTTATGCTGGTGCTGATGGGGATCCCAATAAAGAAAAGTTCCAGAACATTTACTGTCAATTATAGTTCTTAGAAAGAAAGAAAATCGGCCAAAATCAGAATCAGCAGGTCAGACCTTTAAAAAAACAATCGGTAATCAGACCGGCTGGGGGTGAAGGAGAGAGAGAGAGAGAGAGAGAGAGAGGGGAGGGAGGCAGCCTACACAATATACACACAGAGGTACAGACAGTAAAGGTGATGTTGCTATAGACTAAATGAAAAATGGTACAGATATTTATAGTAGTGTTAATGGTAACAGTCATAATGTTAATGATTATAATAAAAATAATAATAATAGGACTAGCAACAACAGTTGTTGTAGCAGAGGGTGTCGAGCAGGAACACGGGGGCAGCAGGTGACCCGCAGCCACAGATCCAGACTCCACAGCTCCAGAGCCAGAAACACGTGCAGGAACTGATAGGAGGAGAGAGGAGAGGGACGAGAAAGCACAAGACTACCAGAAAGGGGAGAAGTTGTGTTAGTAACATGCAAATAATGGGATGAGGTTGCATACAGAGGGAGAGAAAGTAGAGGAGAGTGGAGCTCAGTGCATCATGGGAAATCCCCCGGCAGTCTAGGCCTATAGCAGCATAACTAAGGGATGGTTCAGGACTCGCCTGAGCCAGCCCTAACTATAAGCTTTATCAAAGAGGAAAGTCTTAAGCCTACTCTTAAATGTGGAGATGGTGTCTGCCTCCTGAACCCAAACTGGAACCTTGATAGCTGAACACTCTGTTGAAAAAACAAACATACATTTGGCTAACATACATATTCAGATTCAAATTTTGAAGGTTGTGCCTGAAGCTGGTCATCTATAAAGAGCAGTCTGAAACACCTTGCTGATTCCTCATCCTGCTTGTGTGCATTCTCTGTATGGAAATACACAAATTCATGAAGGTACAGCGCAACAGGGAAAATCAAAGCAATAAATGATAATATTATCTTGTAGGTATCCAGATTCAGCCCCTATGAATGGACTCTAGAGGAGCCAGAAGATGGAGCTTTGCCGCTGACAACTGAATCCACCAATGAGTTTGGGATATTTAACTCCCTTTGGTTCTCTTTGGGTGCTTTTATGCGGCAGGGTTGTGACATCTCGCCAAGGTTTGTATGGCAGTTAAACCATGACTCCTCTCCAGATTCTGTTAGTAAGAATTAATGTATTTCTTATCTTTTTCTGTTACATGTTATTTTACTGTCAGACTGTACTATATTAAAAGTGTGTCAAACCTGATTAATATACTATGAGCATGTTTGGAGACAGAGCTGTTACATGGCATGTAAGAAGAGCACATAACAAGAGCTACATTTCTGACTGTAACATTGCCTTTGACGGGGATAATATAAAACTTTTAATAAAATTATAAAGACACAGAAGTATACCACTCCTGCCATAATGGTGCAATACCAAAAGAGGAAGTTTGTTCCCACAGGTAGTGGTCTACGTTTCACCAAAGACACTCAAAGTGAAACTAGAACCTCTGGGTTGTGCAGGAAGTGAGATAACACACAGATAATTGTAAAAACACAAATTACTAAAAATCCAGCCTATAACCTTACTCAACAGTAAATCCTTCACTATATTTGTCCAGACAGGGATTGTATGATTTTAAAAAGCAGTGTTGTTGATTTAATAAGATGAAATAAATTAGTTACAGAAGCTGGTGAGGACATTGGCTTTCTATTGTCACAGAGACATAATTATTGCTAATAATTACTAATGTCCAAGGAGACCAGAGGATGCTCCCCCCAACATTTTACTGAAACATGGAACAGTTAACAACATTGTCACAAAGGGCACTAGTTATAACTTTTCAAAGGCCTTCAGTCATTCTGCTGAACTCACCACCCTCCCAGCTAGCTCATGAACTTCTCAGGTATTAGACTGTTATAACAGCGTACTTTGGTCTGTTTGTCTATGTGTGTGTGCAGGTCTCTGTCAGGTCGTATAGTGGGGGGGGTGTGGTGGTTTTTCACTCTGATTATTATCTCATCATACACTGCCAACCTGGCTGCCTTCCTGACGGTGGAGAGGATGGTTTCTCCCATCGAGAGTGCTGAAGACCTGGCTAAACAGACAGAGATAGCATATGGAACCCTGGACTCTGGATCCACCAAGGAGTTCTTCAGGGTAAGGACTTCTTCATACACATAGAAGCGTTTGTAGGTTACCACTAATGCATGTGTTAGTAAGGTTGTTCCAGCACTAGTCTCCCAAACAGTTTTGTGGCTCTTCATCATAGATACTGTTAGTGTGTGGAACTCTAATGGAGGGATGAACAGCACTCTTTCAAAATATATTCATTCATTTGGTCATTCGTTTGGATGATGTTGGTGGAGTGCGCTGTCTAACATGTCCTATAGGTCAGAGTTATCCAAGATGCCCATAAAAAATATTTTAAGTTGTGAATCCTACAAGGCAGAGTAAACAATTTATGATTTTTACAAACATCTTTTATCCACTACAGTTAGAATGTGTGTTCTTTACGCTGCTTAACAGTTTATAATTAATAATCATTGATCATCATTTAAAGGCTGCAGTTATGTGTTCCCTGTGCATTCTCTCAGTACACTCCATTGTCAATCTGCACTGAAAAATGCCACATCCACTGTAACTAGCGCAAAATGTCAAACAACCAGCACTAGCTTGCTGCAAAACAAGCACACATATTTGGGCAAACTGACTAAGCCTGTCATAAATGACCATCAAGGGCCCAAAAGTTTGTGTCACTGCTGCTGTTTACGTTCTCCCAGACAGAAATTCCAAAAATGCATTGCAGAATGTACGGGGTGTATAGAGTGTGTGTCACCTATGTGTATATCAATAACTGTAGCTATATATTGTTTTTATTATATTTTATTATGTTATCATATTTTCAAATACAATTAGTTAAACGTTAAGTTCTGTGTTTGTAGCATGATCTACAAACTTTCATTTAGTTGTGTTGGATAATGAGAAATAAACTAACTTGATTCCTGAAGGCTGTATGTATGGAAATATATATATATATATATATATATATATATATATATATATATATATATATATATATATATATATATATATATATATATAATATATATATATATATATATATATATATAGTGTATATATATATATATATATATATAGTGTATATATATATAGTGTATATATATATATAGAGTATGATGACCTGGATACCATATTGTGCCAGACAGATTTTACTTTAACAAGACAGTATTAATATACTCCTTTGTGTGTTTTATTATTTATTTAATTATGTATTGATTTGTCACCGAGCCGGACAGGAGGGGCAGACACGGGGATGAGGGGGCACAAACAGACAGCACAGAGAAAGGACAATACCTGCAAGAGAAGGGGGATGGAAGGTGGGGACAACAGGGAATAGCAGAGGGAAACACCAATTGCAGAAAGCAACGAAACCTGCAATAGAACAGAGAGGGGGGCTTGGGGAGGAGAAAAACAACAACAACAAACAAAACAAACAATAAAAATAATAATAATGGTAAAAGACAACCAGCCGAACAGCAGACATAGTAAGACAACTAAGAGAAAAATGAAAACAAGAAACAGTCCAGCACATTAAATAAGCAACACAGCACAGCCACGAGAGCTGGAATAATAACAATTAATTTAAATAAGTAACTGAAAGAAAAGCATCAGGAATAATTCTACCAGGGACAACCTACTTCTTTGTATCCATGTGTGAGACTGTGTGTGTCTGTGTGAGTGTGGGTGAATGTGTCTGTATGTGTGTGTGTGTGTACATGTGTGTGCGCATAAGCCTGTTAAAGAATGTAGTTGTTAGTGAGAGTGGGACACCACGACTGTGCCACACCTACCCCAGCAACAGGCAGGCAAGAACCCCAGTAGCTAATAGGGGTGGGAGAAAGAAAAAGAATGTGTGGTGTCTGAACGATAATGCTGCGATGATGTGTTGAGAAGAAATCCGCTTGACACTGTTCTTGATTATAAAAGTTTATTACGTCAAGGAGTTCAGCATCAATTACAAGCTCTGCAGCAGCTTGGAGAGTGACCCAGCCCGATGGCCACTCTGTCTCTCTGTACATCGAACACAGCTTATATAGGACATGTTTAGGTCTCTGCTAAAAACCATATAAGGGCACAGTCCCTTCATACACACTAACCTCTACTCCCCCTACCACTGGGTCAGAGGTCAAATTTCATAGAAGGGTTCACTCTTTGCACACCCATCAATCATTACTTCCCCTTAAGGGTTCACTGTGCCTCTCTCCAGCTCTGAGTCAGGGGTCAAGTTCTATAGGAGGGTTCACTGTCCCCATAAGGGTTCACTGTCCCCAGCTACAGAGCATTATGTTAAACTGTAATGGTCAAATGCACATATGTTATACACCACATATTCCCCCCTACGAGACTTAATTGAGTCTCGAAAAACAAAAAGAGATAAATTTCTCCAACACATACTTCTTGCATATTATTTTTAACAACATATCAACTTTATGGAGTGTGAGAACGAAAAACCCGTCCGGCAGCCTTCATTCCAAATTCCCTCTAAGACAATCTAGACAGGAAAATTTTCTCACGGCCCCTCTGCCTTAGGCGGCCACGCATGGTACTCCAGTCCAATTAATAAACGACATCTTTATCAGTCAATACAGAAATATGGTTTAGCCAATACATGTGAAAACCTCAGGAAATTAAACAAATCAAAACAATGTCCGAATTCAGGCTGGTCAACCCATCGGACCCTCCAACGGACCTTTCCCTGCCTAGACCCTATATCCCTAAGCATCAAGAAAAAGAAAAAACCTGAGGTCCCCAAATATTAACTCCCTAAGTGAAAGTACAAGTCTTTACACAGTTAACACAAAAAGAATATAATTGTTAATTAAGTATTATTCATTCACATATGTATTCATATCTATATCAAAGTAGACATAGGAAAGTATTCCACTGCAGCTCCTCAGCAGTGTCGATGCAATCCAGACGTTTCCACACCGTCCTTGTCCAGAGTCCATTCATACTGTCCTTGTTTGAGTATTTAATCCCCATCTGTACATCCCCTATACTCTGGAAGAAAAGAAAACACCAACCAGTATCTTGTTGCAAATAACACATGAAAATTAAAACCTCAATACATGAAAATACAAAGTAACATTAAATGGATATCTTTCCATCATTAATTCATCTGGTTCCCTTCATCATCTCCATCTGAATCAGCCATAGTTAACAAAGGCATCTGAGTGTTCTCCCCAGGCATTATCACTCCAACCCATCTCAATATCATAGCTTTCGCAAAAGTCAATAGCACCGTACAAAAGCAAAACATCAAACACAGCGCTACAAAGGCTGCTACCAAAATCTGAACCACCTCTGCTCCCACTGGTCCTAACTGATTTTGTAGCCAAGTATTTGCTGACCATCCAGCTCCCTCAGATTGACCAAACGCATCCCTTATACTCTTTAATGCATCTATAACACTAGTGATATTATCAGAACTATCTGGGATCAAAGTATAACAACCGTCTCCCGTCAAGTTCATAGCCACACACAAACCTCCTTGTTTGGCTAAAATATAGTCAAGAGCCATGTCATGTTTCAACAATGTCAGTCTGTGACTTCTTTGAGTATTTGACAGAAGATTAAACCCTCGTATAGTTTCATTTGCAAAACCCCATTAATTTTTTCACACACCCCTTGACTTTGTGGGTGATAAACTGCTCCAAGACGTTGTTTGATTCCCAATTTTTGCTAAATCAATTTCACTGTTTTATCCACAAACTCTTTCCCATTATCTGATGATATTCGATCTGGAAGTCCCCACCTGCTTATGACTTCTCTACACAAAAACTTGGCAACCGATTGAGCGTCTTTCCGCTTGGTTGGACAGGCCTCCGGCCATCGTGAAAATCTATCCACAACCACTAGCATGTATCTTTTCCCTTCAACTGGTTTTATCATATCGACAAAGTCAACAACTAACTCACGCATAGGACCCCTTGGGGTGGGAATGTAACCCCTGCGGACATTATTTTTCAGACAGATTGTACACCTGCCTATGACATAATCAATCTGTTCAAGCAAATATGGTGCCCAAAAACCATACTCCTTTGTGATTTTTCTCCTAACCTCCCCCCTGGCAACATGAGCTAACCCATGTGCTTCCTGAATCATCAAACCTAACAGGTCCAGAGGTGCTACTATCAGTCCCTCGTGATTTCTCCAAAGACCCGTAGAATCCTTAACAGCACCTCGGTCTAGCCACAACTGTTTATCAATCATAGAGCAGCTTCCTGCATCAAAATCACTTCCTTAAGCGTAATTCTGTCTTCCAAGTCCACCCCATGAGTGACCAAAAACCTTGCCCAATTTGTCAGCTCCTGTGACAGCTTTTGCAGCTTCATCAGCAGCTTTGTTCCCTTGTGTCACTCTTGACGCATCTGTTTTATGAGCTGCACACTTAGCTATCGCTATCTCTTTAGGCCTCATCATAGCATGCAACAGTTTTATTATTTGTGCGTGATGTTGTATCGGAGAACCATCCGTTCTCTTAAACCCCCGACCTTTCCACACTGCTCCAAACAAATGACATACATTATGTGCATATGCCGAATCAGTATATATTGTCACTCGCTGCCCGTCAGCTAACAAACACGCTTCTGTTAGCCCCACAAGTTCTGCAAGCTGTGCAGACGCAGGCTGTGGTATTACTTCAGCTTTTTCAACAACAAATCCCGTTCCTTGAGCTTTTACTACTGCATAGCCAGCACACAATTTATCTCCCACACGATAACAAGACCCATCAGTCCAATACTCCAGGTCTGCCTCACGTAGTGGAAGGGCTTGCAAGTCTGATCTAAGCCTTGAGTATTTCTCTGCCTCTTGAACACATCATGTGGCTCACCATCCTCTGACGTTGGCAAATTCTCGGCTGGATTTACCGTATCACACCTTACCAGGGTGACATCCTCCTGCTCTAAGAGCCTATGATAGTCTCTAAGCCTTGGCATAGTCAATGTGTATTTTCCCCTAGTTCAGTAGATTCCTGAGACTATGATGGGTAAGAATTGTCACTGGGTAACCCCTCGTAACAGATGATGCTTTGTCATACATTAAATAAACTCCAACCATTGCTCTGTAGCACAGTGGTAGCCCTAATTCCACTTCTGAATATGCAGTCGAATAATAGGAAATAGGTTGAGGATTCGACCCTGTACCCGTCGGCTGACAAAGGACTGCACATGCATATTTACCTCCAGTGGAATAGACACATACAACAAGAAATTCTTAGAGTAATCTGGTAGTGTGAGCGCTGGCGCCTCCTGTA